GTAGCCACGGCCGCGACATTTGGCCCTGGCGGAAACAGCCCCACAGAGCCTAAAACAAGGCGAGGAAGGCTTGTATGACTCATTGAGCAGCTGGAGTTGAAGTATCATAGGCGGCAACTGCCATGTGACAAAGTGATGAGTAGGACTTCGAATGTTTGATGTGTTAGAATTAGTAGAGTCGCGGCATACTAAGGTATGCTACCGCTCAAACTACAATACGCCCCTCCCACGCTTCCTAGCACCCAGACCACAACACACACTCGCCCCGCCCGCGACAGACCGCAACTCGTCGACTCACAATCAGGCTACCCTCCATGGAACCGCCCACCGCTTCAACCTTGACGCTCTGGTTACCCCGCTGAGCCCACTGCAGAAAGTCACCCGCTCATGCGCGGTCCGGTATCGGCTCCTCCCTCTTGTCCTTTGGTACCAATCTTCAGGGTTTCCCCTTTCATAGCCGCGGCCTGGTCTTGGGGGGTAGCGGAGCCTCCTTCAATAGAGGGGGCCTGCTGTGGGGGACTAGCGAGGTCCGCATCCAAAGCGGTGATGTAAGCCTGTAAAGCGGCGAACTGATGATTGCCAGCGCCAACGATGTCTTGCAGGGCGGCAACCTCCTGCTGGGCAGTGGCGAGGTACTCCTCCAACGCAACGATACGCTGTTCGAGAGCAAGTTCAGCAGCAGAGAGAAGCTCTTGGTTGACCGCGTCTGCCTCTTGACGATGGTTGAGCCAGCAGAGGCACCAGGAAACCAGGAGCTGAACCGCAATTCCGGATAAAAGTGTGTAAAGCCAGGAGCCGTCCATCGGGAAGTAAGCTGAAGAATACAATAATACATAGTCAGCAAACACGATACTCTGGGACATTTCAATGGCAAGAACGAACAGGGGTTTTCGGATGCCATGCGGAGAAATCTTTGTACGAATTTTGAGGAAAGGTCAACAAAAATATAGTTCGGCTGATGGGTACAAATGTGGGGAGCGGTGTGGTGGAGAATGAGAGGGAAAGTAAGCAAACAAGCTGCCGGTAAAAAATCGGATCCACCGCACATCTCTCATAGGATGACGCGTGAAACGGGATGAATCGAAGCTTGGTGAATAAAAGAACCGGCTACACGGCAACACAGTTCGGCGCCGTTGCCAGCAACCCGGAATGCATAAATATCAAGTGTTCCTTTTTCGTTACGGCTTGTCGTTTCTCATCATGCGAGTTATATTAACAAGGATGTTCCATCAAAATTATCGCGTCGTCTACCTGATCAACAGGATGTCCCACTGGCCAATGGTGACACTTTACATCTCACTGGCGCCAGTAGTAGAATAAGCTCCACCTGATCCGGATCATGTGGGAAAAGCAAGATTGATTGCTGGCTTACCTCAGATCCTGACGGAACAACATTCCGAAAATACAGTAATTTGCAGAACGGATAGCAGTAGAACAGTGAATAACCCAGAACAGGGAAACCAACTGCTTCCAATAATACAGCTGCCTGAGCCCGAGGGATAGCCTCGTCAGAGCCACTTAGAATCGTATGTATCTAGAATTATGTATAAAGGCTAGGTACGCAACGAATTACCGCCCCCCAACAGTTATCCGCAACCCCCATCCCAAACACAACAAGGTTGTGGAGACTCTGTGTCTCTCGGCACAACCCCTGTCAGCCTAGAGAACATGAACCGACTTCAAGCTCGTCTCCTTCCCCACCTTCAACTCCAAATTCATCTTGGACACCCTCGCTGCACATGTGGACCTCCATCATACCCCACAGCCTGAGTTCACTCTTTGAAAAAAAAAAAAACGTTGAAAGTGGTTGACAACCTCTCGACTGGTACTCACTGGGAGGGCGCTGTGGAGTACTCGTTGTTTACAGAGCAGTGTGTTTTACCCACTTGATTTTAAGCAAATATTTCATGTTCTGGAGCAAGAAGATACCAGGCAGTAAATACCAGAGGTGGCGAAACTCAGTATTTCAACCTCCTTTAAGACAGCTTTCACGGGGCGTATGGCCACTCGGCGGGCAATCTTACCTGCCTCTTTTGTCGGTGTTATTAGCGCTTCCATGATGTGCGGCGTGGAAATGGGTTACAGCTACCCTGATTCTGGTACAGCTGCGGGAATTCGCTGTTGCGTCCTGGTAACTGTTATTTCGCCCCCACCAAATGTTAGAGATAGAAACCGGAAATAGAGCATGGGGGAGCCCGGGAAGCTGAAGACTACTCCGGGTCTTTAGTTTAACATTGTTCATGCAGCAGTCGGTATCCTTTGATGATACACCCGATCATAGGCGACACGGAGATTTCTCGTGATAGAAAATGTGTGCAGCGGGTTTGTCGTGGCAGCAGGAGGAAAGTACTTGCGCGCAGGCGAGAGTGGTGGTGTTCGACTAGTGATCTATGACTGATTTTTTCCTGCTTAAGTACAGGCAGAGAAAACACATAACACTCTCAGGGTAAACCCACATAACAGGAAAAAGACAAACCAGCACGGTCGTGGCCGTTCCAGTTAAACGACACCATACCTTTCAACTACAAACTGGAATTACATATCCATCATCTTGCGAAGTAGCGATCCCATTTTCCCCCAATGACTAAGATCCTGAACTCCAAAAACATGGCATATTGGACAGCTGCAAGCGAAACCGAGCTACTACATCGCCCGCCAAACAACTTAAAATCTTCACCACAGATCACCCCCAACATTTAGGGCCACCAGTGTTTCCAGATTTACCTGACCCCCCCGAGAACTGGAACCTTCAACTCGCCTCGGAATCGGAGATGCCGCTTCGCATTTCCGGGGCAATGGATCAGTCTTCACACCAATAAAATGCAACTATCATGGCGTCCATAACTTGGAAGAATATGATTGAAGACACAGTTGCCACATGTGATACAGCTCAACCAATATCCGATATTTGACCTCTTCCCGGTCACAGTCAATACATAGTTGCTCGATCCAGCCTGGGCTAAGTTCTTCGCACTTCAGCGAGATCAGGTTCGAATTTTGTGGCAAATCGGCTCGCGTATTTAACCACATTTTCAGGAAGGGTTGCTGATAATATCACGATCTCGGCAGTCGCAGGTATATCCCTAGTTGACAGAGAATACCAGGCACCCCACGAGTAACTAGCGGTTATACCTCTCGACGTATGATACCTGTTTCCCACTGAGGCACTGTTTTCCAAGCCCTCGGTGATCAAGCATATTACCGGTCCCATCCAGCATATAAGCCCAAGAATGTTCTAGGGCGATTGTTTGCACCGAATCAGGTCATCAACCGCGTCAGGTGTCCTAAGGACAATATGTGTATCAATCCTTTGACCGCATCGGACCCTATCCGGTGTGGCAGACTAAATTTTGATGTTAGTAAATGGACCGACGGTTCGAACACCGCCCACAATATGTTCAGCCAGTACTCGACACGGAGGCAAACAAGGTCCTGGGCATCGGTGACGGACATGTCGATGCCAGCCAACATTGGTAGAACAACAGCCACAGATTTCCCAGTTCCGGTCTGCTATTGACCAACCATATTTCGGGGTCTGATAACAAGACGGGAAACGCCAGTGAAGGGATGTTTGAAAGCCTGTTGGAGTTCGCAACGTACATACCGCCCGGAACATCTCTGGAACTATAATAAAATAACCCCAGGGCGATCTACGCGTGAGATTGTAAATTGGACGCTTAATCCGAAGCCAAGAATGAATTCCGAAGTGTAAAGATCTCGCGAACTGACACTTGGAGGAAATACATTTACAACTACAGTTTTAGGTTTCCGGACGTCGCGACGAAATATAGAGGACAGTTAGCATGCCGCTGTCGGTCAGCAAGTTGTACAGCAACTTCCTATTTGGGATCACCGAGACTTAGCATAATTCCCGAGCACAAGGTGTGAAGGTATCATAAATGCTCTATTGGTAGCAACCGCAGTACCAACCGGGGCTGCGCGTATCTTCCCCATTCACAACTCATCTGAAACAGGCACTTCGGTCAGTGTTGATAACCCTGTCAAAAAGAACAGAAACAGCATCATATTGCAGGAAAGTGGGAAGACTTAAAATCCTAAGTCAGCAGTGATGTCGGAGAGGAAGTCTGGAGATGAGGAAAGGTATGAGGATATTGAATTAATCCGGAATGCTGAGTTGGTGACAGCTGAGGCAAGGGAAGTAGGTGAAGTGGTTTAAGAAGGAAGAGTGCTATGGCTCGTGCAGACGAGGGAAGCGATTGAGGGGCTACTTGGCATACCGTAGTTCGAACTGGGTGTCTTTGAAAACGCGTTTTGTGCACACGATTTCTGATTCATCAAGAGTATGCCATAAAAGCAGCTTACGTAATCCACAGTTCCTGGGTGTGATTGGCCCATTTCAAATCATTTGTAGAAAACGCATTTTCCCACGACAGCCTGGTCAGACGGCGATAGGCCAAGGTGGCCCCAAAAATTTGGAGATAGCGATTTCGTGATTGATTCGAAATCTCCTGGCACCGCTATTCCCAATTAGCTATTCGGTTACCCGGGTGGAGAACTCATAATATTGTCTCGTAGCCACGACTGAAGACGTGCTTGACAAGACGAGTTTGGTGTTTAACCTTTTCTCCAGATTATTATTCTTCTGCTTCTTTTGATCGATATCGGACTAGCGGGGCCACGCGAAATTAATGTGTGGACGAAACGAGTCTGGGGAAAGCAGCTGTTCGTTCTATTCAGTTGAGAGGAGATGGTTGACTACATTCATACAAACTCGACATATACCAAGGGGCATTGTCCACAAAGATCCTACTAAATTCCACTACAAACCAGTCCCCTATGACATCAAAACCTGGCTATAGTCTCACCAACGCACCCCATCCAGATTGATATACGGCGGAACCGAGGTGTGGTTGGTCCATCATCTTTTACCTCAACGTTTAAAATTTCCGGTAGTTGGTGTCATCCCAAAGCTCAAGTCGAGTTGAAGAGATGCTATGATCGTTTATCATACCAGAGCTGAGCCCATCTAACAATGTTAGTCTTTGGTAGTATAGTGGTTAGTATTTCCGCCTGTCAATTAACTTTGAGCGCGGAAGACCGGGGTTCAATTCCCCGCCAAAGAGTTTTTACTTCATTTTTTACTTACTTCTCTTCTTACGATACGAGCAAAGTAGTTATAGCAAGGTGGCCGCTAGTGACATGGAGCGTAACTACGACTATTGCATCCCGTATAAAACTTATAGGAGTGTGGATTTCCAATTCGAAGACGCCAATACGCTGGCCACTTCTAGCCCTCGAATGCCAGATCACTGTAAAGTGCTCTTGCAGCGATCGCTCTGAGTTTCCATCTCACGAAAGCACTAACCCAGAGTACTTTATTAAGAAATTCGTGTTTGATTGCCCATGGAGGGCTGGCGGACAGATGGGTTAGATGGAGGTTCGGTGGAGAGAGGGTTGTAGAGGCAGAAGATCGGGAAAGGGTAGCACAGTTCGCGGTACGGCCAATGTTTCACGGAGGTAGAAGTCACTTCTGGCAGCGGAATGTCTCGGAAGCTGGCAGACTGTGCCTCACCCAAGGGGTTCAGTGAACCCAGGTGGCTAGTTAGCCAGGGTTTAGGCGCTGTGGGGCTCACGCTGGCGATTTCAGGGATGGCCGGGCCGTGGTACGGGAACGCCGATTTCCAAAATGCGCAACTTCTCTTCACTGCGCGATGGTGGTTCAAGTAAGAGTCACTGTTTCATTCCCCGCAAAATCTTTATCCAACACAATTAATTATTAATGACAAAGTCATTCGGTTAATATCTATTGATTCCTGGCGGCTCGGGAGTTGTGACAAGAATAGGATACGGTGTATTGTAGGAGGACATTATCGGAGTTGAATAGATGGGGACATTGTGGCTGTTGCCGGTGGATGGCAGATACATTAAGGACAGCTGTAGGCAGATAGAAAAGCTCCCAGGGCGCGGAGGATATAAAATTCAATTTCGGTTATGTCCTTTTCGCTCGCTACCCTGCGCGTGCATCTACGCAGAAAAGATGGATCGTTTGGCGTTACAGTCTCCCGTACCCAGGTTTTGCCATACAGCTGGTGAACCGACGGATCATGGCTGCGAAAACGATATTATCATGTAAGCGGGCTTTTGGCCAAAGCACGAGCTGGCAACCATGTATGAAAAACCGTAACGTTAAATGGCCCCTAAACTCTTAAATTGAAAAAAAGCTGACCTGTATCACGATATGTTTTGTCTACATCTGCCTGCATGTCGTGATCAAATCATTTCTGGTTCTTAGACCATCTGCATTAGTAATCGTTCCCAACTGTACTACACCGTCATTTTGCGCTCGTTTTCTTCACTACTGCCTTCTGCTCCTCTTCTCTGTAACATCAATAGCGTCATACCCCTTCGTACTGCACTCTTGAGGTTCACATTTATCGAGTTCCCCGCTTACCCATAGTCATTGGCCTACCCTCAAGGCATCCTCCAGCAGGTCCAGGGGGATGCAAGAAATATGTACTGACCAACATCTACCAAAAGGATACGCAATTTTCCAACCTCTGAATGACATGATAGCTGACAAAGGGTTGTCTTAAGCTGATTCTGTATCATATGGAGCACATCGTTAGCCTGTTTTCTCGAGCATCGTAAGTGCGGACACTGGCTGCTTGAATATGGAACTACCAGATTCCGCTGACTATAGTCAACCTGGTGTCAGTCCGAAGAGAGAATTCAATGAGGGAAATTGGATTTGTTGGAGTACTTACTGAACAGGTCCACAATTCAACTGACTCCGAGACCACTTTGGCCGAGATGGGAACCAGCTGTTGACCTTGTTCTGAGTTGTTCATGCTCCAATGCACAGCTATCCACTCAGTTCACACATTGACACCAAACATGGAGGGACTGGATGCTTGGGGACCCTCCTTCCTCGTGGGTGGAATGGATTGTGGTAAACATAAGCCATAGACCTCAAGGGGTGGGGTCGGAATCACAGATGTCGCAAGCGATTTATGCCCAATAAGGTCTACTACCTGCGGACCTATTTGGTTAATCAACTGTGGCTTGCTAAAAGAAGGGAATGTTGGTACCCTGTGAGCGCTAAGAGGCCTAATGTGCGAGATGCGTCACTGCTGATGTTCGAATCTAGAATGTCTGCGTGCTCCAAACCCCGGAGGCACGACCCCCGGGGGCGGCCAGAGCAGAGGAATGCCATCCATGCCACGGTGGGTAGTCATATCCAATCCGCGCCGAGAGGCTCTACTTAAAACTTAACCCTTACCACTCCACTACTTCGACGGACCTAGGCCACGCCCTTGGGTGCCAAGTGGCGCTGCCCGTGACAACCAATCGTATATCCAGTCGTCTACAACACCAACTTCGATACTTGGTATGGTGCCTGCCCCCACCATCCCCCCTGGAAACATGGTCATAAGACTAAATACTGGCAGGCCAACCTATTTCTTGCTGAGTCCCAAGGATATTGGGTACACGACGGGTTTATTTGGTCGCAATATACAGCCCTGCCACTTGTTCCCTATCACTCAAGTACATTTCCCGAGGGCTCTAAAATACATTTATCTACTTTTAATACTACTATTCCATTGGGTATTCATTGACTCTTCTCTTAGACCATACTCATTGGTTCAAAATGAACTTATCAGTGGTTCCACTAGCTTTAGAGAGTGCTTCGGTGGGTTCAGTCATGTTAGATTCTTTGGTTCAGGGTACTGCAGTTCTCAAGATGAGTTTTCAATAGAACCCTCACAAATCATTCCCACTCTGTTTTCCTTCATGATGGCTTTGTCATCTTTTATATCAACTACGTCTTCTGCTTTCTTTTCTTTTCTTTTTCAATTGCCCTGGCTCGATTGAAAACGCTTGGCGTACAAAATTAGATGTTAGATTAGGGGTAGAAAAACTCGGATATGACATTAGTCGCAAACCGCTGACCATGGGTTTGTCCTTCAAGGCGTCAGGAGGTGTTTTTAAACGACCACTAATATCTCCCTGCCCTCTATTACTATTTACTAGTTATCGATTAAGTCATTCTAAATTCTATCTGACAGCCAAGAACGGAGAGGTGGCCAATGTTTTTCCCAGTTTATCTCAAGTACAAAGCTACAAACCCTGCGGGTGTGTTAGGTTGAACCGCAATAAGGTTGTGTTGAGTTGGGTTGAATGTTCTTCAGTTTGGGTTGGGTTGGGGCGATCCATGCTCTGACTGGGACAAACCTATGTGGACGTTTGGTTTACGATCCTGCGATCTAGCAGATGATGAATTGATTGGTCAAGGTATATATTCTCCTAAAGGCTACCTCGACCTAGGGTACTGGAATTAAAGGGGAAGATTCCTTTCACTATTATCACCGGTAAAGTGCTGATCGATTAGTGCTCCCGTCGGGTATCGCTTGGGAAAATTACACTTTGGAGCGGGGTGAATCTATTATGTATAATGCGCACTGTCTCATAGATCCACTAGGATGAAAAAGGTGTTACTTGTGGCTGCGGAGCTTTAGATACAGATACTAGGTTTCAAGGGCATTAATTTAGAAATGAAAGGCTCCTGGAAGGACTCTTTTGATTAAGATTGCGTGATCTGGTGGGCTCATGAATATGACGGGCGGAGATTGCAGGGGCCTACAATTGAGAGGGGGTTCCACGGTATGGCCGTAGGGGCCGCACCAACTGCAGGACACGGGGCTACGGGGAGCTGGTGTTTACTTGCTGATCAGGAATCCATGGTTGGGGCGGAGGTAGTGGAATGCGGTAGCACCTTCAGAGCAAATAACATGATTCTCTCTAGAAATCATTGTCGAGATTAATGTCATTCTGATGACTAGTATTGTCAGTAGTAGAGGGGAGTTGCATGTACTGAAGGGCACCACAGCCTTGCTTTCACTCCCTTATATTGGAGTCTTTTCCAGAGGAGGGATATTTTTGCACTAAGGCTTGAGAAATGACGCTGGGGACGTCTGCATGTGGAATTTAATAAGGTGCCTCAAGGGAGCCAGCGGTAGCCGACATCGCTTGAAATGGCGAATTCGACGTTAACCACGAAGAGTATTGGAAATCCTGGAGTCACCGTGTACCGTGTTACAACCCAGGCTGCAATGCATCCCGGCCCACGATTCCGACGATATAGACTAGAGCTCCAACGACGCCCCGCCCACCCGCAAAACAACCAAAATGAATATTACCTATTTCAGAAGAATTGGGATCAGGAAAGAGTGCTACTCGGAACCGACATATGCTGGTCTTCCTCAGGAACTACGAATCGGAATTCGGGAGAGTTGGATTTGAGGAAAGATTTGGCATATGCTAGAAGAATGAGGGATGGGGTGTAGATGACCCAGGATGGATGTGAGCCATCCTCCTTTACCTTAGTTAATTGTTTTGCCTTATTGTCCGTTCTATCTGTCTCTTTTCAGTTATCTGGACTCGGCTCATTGGACTTGTGTTTTCCTGTTCCTCTCATATTTCTCTTGACCAGAATATTTCTCCATTAAGAGATATAATTACTGTGTCAATTCTACCTGATTCCTACCCCCATACCTTCTAATCAATAGTCAAAACAGGCATCCAAACTCTCGTGGGGACGGAATCCTCTCACAAACACAATGCAATCGAACCTTAATATAACTATTCAACCATTTGGTTCCGAAAAGGTTCACGCTGTTAACTGTCTGGTCGGTCCGGTAAGGAAAGGTGTTGTGGTCTAGGATATAGAAGTCAGAGGCTTCCAAGCAATGTATCGCGATAGTATTTTGTTCCCTTGGATATCAGGCAGTGAAAACCCAGATAAAACACAAAACCCTAACTGGTAGATAATGTACGAAATGAAGTTTATGAATGATTGGGGGGTCGGCGTGAGACGTGAGGGAGTGCTGATCGTGGGTTGGGGTTTGGGGGAATTTTTGCATCGTTTCCGGGCTTAGATAGCATTGTGAGAGTTGGAAGTAGTGATTGTTCTTTAGGTTGCGGGAGGAGGGGGAAGCCGGATCTGTAGGCTTGGATTCCGTATGGTGTGAATGCACCGATATTGTGGGATTACAATGTGGAATGGGGTTTTCAAAAACGAGGAAAAAAGGGCAGTAAGAGGATCAGGAGAACAGGGGAAGTTGTG